TTCAGAAGCATGGCTGGAAGAATTCTCAGAACAAGATTATCATTGTTATCTGCTGCACCACTAATAGTTTTGCAAATACAAAATAAACAAATAAAAACCTGAAACTAGTTTGTAGTATAAACATGAGGCCACTGCCGGTTAGCTTAATTTAGCGTAAACGGAGGCCTAGTTCCAAAGGTACGACGTGTTCACTAAGTCCTTTTCAAACATGTCAGTTAGCTTATCGCATAAACACTGGAAACGGGGGGTGGGGGCTAGCCTTTGTGTAGGTAACAAAATGTGCCTACCAGTAGCCCACCTCCAAGTTTTGCCAATCGTTGCAGAAAATGACAGCTTTTAGCCTTTTTCAGACTAGCCTTTCCCAGTTGTACCATTATGAGAGCCACTCTTGCAAAGACAAACTGATCAATTTTCTCAGAGCCATAAGAGCCTTGCAGCCAAAAACACAGGATCACTGCAATTTATTTTCCACTTTTCCTTTGGTTTATTCACCTGCCATTTTCGTTAGTGGCGGCGCTAGGGGGTGGCTACTTGGGCTCAAGCCCCGGAAGTTTCACTTAACATGTTTTTTTTTGTGAAAACGTCTCGGGAGTAATGTGCAGTACTGGAGTCCACCAGAGAGGCATCCGCTGCGGGACATTAGCCTGCGTACTGCGTAGCCTGCCCTGAAGTAGAAGTGATCCTTCCTAGTGCCTGACGAGTTCTAAGCTAATAGCCTATACAGTTATGGATATTAGAAAGTTATTTTCATTGAAGCAGGCGTATGGGCATAGATATGTCTCGTAATTATTTGTGTGAACATAAAAATAATTTGTGTGTAAATATGTGATTTGTAAATGTAAAACAACATCCACAAATGCATTTAAAAGATTTGCAAACTCACAAATACATTTGCAAGTGTAAAACGGATCTGCAAATACGCTAAATATGTTCACAAATTAAAAAAACATCTGTGAATATCTCTTTAACATTTACACCTTTCGATCAGGCATTTGTGAATCCATTTTGTATTTGTGGACCAAAAATGCGCTTGCGGATCTCAAATCTCTATTCACGGATCTCAAATCTCTGTTCGCGGATCGTCTTTTTACACACACGGAATTTTGAGACATATTTTCCGCCGGTCTCGGCTAAAATCTACTCGTGTCACTCGGTTATTTTCGGAAACCACGTGATGGCCTGCTGATGACGACATTTCCGCATGATTTCAAAGTAAGAGCATGATGGTTTGTTTAATGCTCTGTTTTTGTATTATAATGAACAGCGGAACGTTAGATGCATTCTTTATCCACAGATACATTATTAACCTATGGATCAACCGATTCAGCCGCGTTTTTTCTCGTTTTAATGCCATTGAACGCGTATTTTGATCAAATTTGACAGATACGGTGAGACAATCTCCCGTAAAAGCTCCGTAAAAGGTAGGCTACGTGTTGTGATGTCTGTGTTTGCTTCCCCTGTCGCGAGATCGGATCGCATAGATACTATACTTAAATAATCTGTGGAGTCTCAGCTTTAATCGGATATATTGTATGTGCAGTTTCGATAAGTAATAAGGGTATCTTTATTTAGAATTCTGTGCTAAAGTGCGTTAGCATTTTTTTTTTAAATGAATAAAACCGCACGTCCCTGCAGTGTGAATATCGCGCATGCGCATATGGCGGTTATCGCCATGACACGGTATATCGTTCAGCCCTAGTTAGTATGTATACAGAACATGACTAAAAATTATCCTAAGATGTAACGTTAACCCTTCATACCTCAGTCTACTTTTAAGACACTAAAATAACGTATTCCATTTTTTATTTTGTTTTCGCGCATGGAATTATACCGGCTCTCGTTTCAGTACACATAACAACGGAACTGACAGGCAACCCTCTGAATCAGACTCCGATTGGCTGTGACTGCATCCACTCAGTGTCCGATTCAGAAACATGACTCTTACACATTTTTTACGTCACAAACAAAGATGGTGGATGAGAATAGATCTATAAAACGGTAAGCAATGCGCCAGAATCAAGGTGAGACTATCCGCATCCTTTAAAACTCTACGCACATTCGTTTCACCTTAATAAGTAAACGACTATTTGAGTGAGTTAAGGCATGAGTTTGCTTCATTAAAGGGTGTTAATGAGTGTTCTCCAGTGCCTTTTGTCCGCTTTAAGGTGTTATTAAGGTAGGGTTAATGTTGCTCTCAAAGTGCACCAGATTGATGCTTCAATAATTAAAAAAAAATCTTCCCAGGGGAGCATGCCCCCGGACCCCCCAAGAGGAGGTGACGACCCCCCTAAAGGATGTTCAGTCCACCCCAGGCAGGGGTAGCACTGTACCCCTGCACCCCCCCCCCCCCAACAACTCCTGGGCTAAGCCCCGGATCTCCTACAATCCTAAATCCGCCACTGAGCAACTGCAAGAACTTAGATCAATACTCTTTAACAAGGAAAACCAAACCGCTAACCTCTTCCTGTTTTAGTTGGACAATGATTGATGCATTTCCTTTGGGGTATATTCCATAGCCTTGACATTATTAAATCAACATTAACTTCATAATCATAAGTTAAAACAAAAAGTATATTTGAACAGGTTATTCCCATAGGTTATTCCTTTTGTGATTATTTGGTACCACTTTACAATAAGACTACAATAAAGGGTTTACGAATAGTTTGTAATTCATTTATTAATTAGGTTGTGAACACTTTATAAATCATGAATAAGCTTTTATAAGACATTAGATAAACAGGGCAACTGTGACCGGTTGCTTGCCAAACAGTGAGCCCACATTTATCTGTACTGCTAAGTCTTATATTGGCTACTTAGCTTACTTCGCGTTCTTCATCAGCCAGCATCCTTGGTGTCTGTTGCTCACTGAGTGGATTCTCGCTAAGTAGCCAATATAAGGTTTAGTCATCTTGCCAAATAGTGAGCCTGTGTTGATGTTAGAACTGGTTTACAAATGGTTCTTAATGATTAATAATTAAAAAAATTAAAAAAGTGTTTACAACCTAATTCATAACCTAATTATAAACCCTTTATGAATCCTTTATAAGGGTAGTCTTATTGTAAAGTGGTACCTATTATTTCATACAAAGTGGGAAAATATAATCCATTGCAGTGGGGCACAAGAGGTGTACTGGACTATTCCCTGACCAGGTCAAACTATTCCTTTAACTTGTCTCACAGCTCGCAATGAGTGCATGCATCTCTGTGTGTGTGTGTGTGTGTGTGTGTGTGTGTGTGTGTGTGTGTGTGTGTGTGTGTGTGTGTGTGTGTGTGTGTGTGTGTGTGTGTGTGTGTGTGTGTGTGTGTGTGTGTGTGCCTGTGCACTGCAGGAGGTAAAGGGGGAACTCCCCAGAGAGCTCCAATTCCTCCTCTCCGTCTAAACAAGGAGCTACACCCCAACGCTTATTTCTCAAATCGACCATTTAGATAACAGAGAACTACAAAATATACTCAAATTAAGTGAAAACCAGCAGTAGCAGGACAGGCAGAATTAATCGCAGTGTATTTTTTTAATCTGTCACAGAAACACTGGAGGTGAAAACTGAGGTAAATGTGAAATTACAGGCCTATCATAAAGGGAGGTAATTAACAGTCCACACCTCTGGCCAAAGAAAGCCTCACTGGTTTTTTTGGCCTGCCAAGCTTCTACACTACCTATGATTTACACTCAGGGGGGGACATGCTGGTTTATGAGGCCTATTCAGGAGCCCTGAGGTGTCACTCCCGGGTTTTCTCCTCGGCCTGGTTCCTGACCGTTTCACACCTCCAGGAGGGACTATTATCCTGTCAGAGGGCCACTCTTCACAGCTGCGTAACGCTTCGCCCCGTGAAAGTCACACCCTTCTGCTTGTTTTGTTGGCCTGTGGAGCCCTGGGTTCACACACAGGACTTTCCGGGAGCTGCAGATGGTCATCGAGATTTAAAATGGATGGGAAAAAACATGGTCTGAGGAAGAAACATAGGCTGAGTGGTGGTGAAAACAGGAGCTCTGAACTTCAAACTGTGGGCAATGGAGACCCATTAAACTTTCAATCGTATTGTTATAAGGCAGTTAGAACCAGGAGGCACTTTGACGGGAAGACTTTTTGCTGCCAGGGAATCTAATGCAAACCTTTACACTTATATTAATATATCTACTGTATATAGAAACTAATCCAAGCAGTGTTACTTAAAGTAAACTTAAGTAACAGTAAAAAACAGGCACATTATTTCATGGTCCAAAGTTCTTTGTTTTGGGGTTATCCAAAAGTACTTGGGTTTTGACATTAGAGTTAAAAGAAAAATGTAAAGTGAGAAATCACTGCAACGTGACTTGTTGCATCATTCTTCTTACAGTAACGCCTTGGATAATAAATATTCCAAATCTAATTTAACAAAAATGGTATGGTCAGCACTTGTATATTTCAGAAGTGAAGGTTTTATCACACTATTTGGGTGTATCGACTAAAACGAATTATGACTCATTGTGAACTTGATCCTACATACACTGCCATTATTGTCATTGTCTGTGAGGTAACCTTGAGTAACACTTCTGAGAACCGGACTGGTATAACAACAGTCTCAAGTAAGGTGACAGCTGAGGTAACCAGAGGCTCCTTCCTCAAAGAGATGAAGATATGAGTAGTTATGAGGAAGTCAAAATATACTTAAGGAGGATGAAGGTGTGGATGGTAATTTATAGAAATGTACAGTGCAAACATTATATCTGAAAATATAAATGTAACAACTCTTTCTAAGGCTTTCTGTACACATACATTGCACTTCTAAAATATGTTTTGTTATTTTATTGTGGGTAAACAAAGGTTAGTATTTATTTACTTAAGTTCTTTATAAAACTGATTCATTAATCTAGTGGTAATTCTATAAGTCTGAGTAAGTGTCGGTCTGCCCCCTACTGGGGAAGTAAAGTAAAGCTCCTCTGATAACTGATAACTATCAAACTAAAACCTGAACATTAAATAAAGAACAATAATGATTTTGTAATGTTTTAATAAAATGTATTCATTTAATAAAAAATACAGTGTGTAAATGCTTGAAAAATACAGACACTGGCATCATAAGTCAATCAAAATCAAAATGTATAAATAAGTAAAAATGTTAAATTATCAAAGATTTTTTTTTACAACAATGTCAGTTAAAAGGGATTGGCTCTTTAGGTTCAAAATAGTAGCATATTGCCATTTTTCTAAAATGGTTTCAGTAACTACACAACAAAGTGCGACATAATATCACTATGAAACTACAATTGGTGTTTATAACATGGCAGCACTTTGAATTCAATATATAACGTTCACATTCACAAAGGGAAGAAACATGAAAAATACACTTTGCAAAGGAATAAAGGAGAAGAAAAACTACTCATCAAAAAATAATAAAAGCATACTGCATGACAAGAAACATGAAAATGTATGTCACGTGGGTCATCAGCACTTTGAAAGAATCTCCTGACAGCTTTTGTAAACTTTCACCAAGCAGTTCAGCCTTGGCTTTGAACTCTGAAAGCAATTTGAAAAGAGGGTTCATTAGAAACACATTACTCTGAATAACACTGTGTTTAATAAAGATGCCCCATTGTGCTTTATGGAGTTTTCCCTTTCCTTATAGTGTTTTTTATAGGTTTTTCTGCATACAGCCAGCATGCCATTGCATCCTTGGGCAAGACACAGTGTCCACAGTATTGATGTTTTACATGTCTGATACTGTATATGTAATATGTAATGTAAAGCGCTTAGAGCACTTGTAAAAACACTAAAATATATGCAATGAATTATTATTATTATGCTTTATGGGATGTTCTCACACCTTGCATTCAAAACCTCACCTGAAACAATGGCACAACACGCGCCACTGCATTAGGCTCTGAAGGGTCCTTCAACAGCACACACAGGTAGTAGATGATTTGATGCTGAAATAAAAGCAATAGATGTCAATTCACCCTTCTTGCCAAAGCATAAACTTACATATCTGTAGGTTGTAAAAATGTCCTCACCATGTAAATAGCTTCATTGATGACAATATCCTTGATTTTGCCCATCTCAATGAACGTGGTGGTCTCACGGCCCGACGCGTAGCTGGAAGACAGCTGGATGCCTAAGGAGCCGATGAAGAGCAAGGTCTCGTGGTCGACCTTCACAAAGTGGATGTGAAGCATCATGCCAACCAGAGTGATGAATATAGCACTGGACAGAACGGCTGTGTTCTGAAAGAGAGGGAAGACATTTCAATGTAACTTGTCAATATCAATATGAATCATTACATACCACTCAAAAACGTAAAGAAGACTGATCATTTAAATGTACAGATCACAAGGAGCATCATCATTATTATGTCCACAAGGAGTTTCTTGGTCTGGCTTAACAAAATCAAAACAAGAACCAGTTGAGAGTTGAATAATACGGACAAAAATCTAATAATGCAAAAAAAGTGTACTAGCCTGAATGTCTTCTAAATATCAATAATGTGCTCTTACATAATAAGTAAGCTTGAATGGGGTGTACATAATGGTAAATAGGGCTTTTACCAATAACCAATTTCATTATCAATTATTCTGCTAATTACTTTCTAGAATCATTTGCCCTATACTATTTAAGAAAATATTGAAATGTTTTCATCCCAGTATCTCAAAGTTATCTCAATGTTTCTTTGTCAGTCCAAAACCCAAATAAATGTTATTTAATATTATGTAAAAGAGAGAAAAGCAGTATATTTCAATACTTTAGAGGCTGAAATCAGCTTTTTCTGACACTTTGGCATTGACAAAACATGTTATCACTATGAAAAGATTATCAGAACAACACTTTTCCACTGTCCCTGAAGTAATCAATAACTCGATTTATCGATGCAGCTCAAATAATATATGGTATAAAAACATGTAATATATTTATAAAGGTTAGTAAAATAGTAAAGGCTTATTTACTTTAAATTAATATGACCATTATAGTCATACAAACCATAAGGAAACAGTACATTTTGATAGTGAAAAATGTCACATCTCTTGTGTAATCGATTTTAAGCAATAAGGCCACAGCGATTCTGCCAGCACGTAGTAACCATAGACTGTACAGTGTACATGTAATTAATGTAACATCTCATGTATCTTACCTCTGTGAAGAAGAACACAACGTATGCCAAAAGCCAAACACAGCAGGTGTACACCATCACCTTCCCGATGGACACTTTAGGGACGCTGACAACGAACTCCTTGCAGAGGCTGGAGTGATCCTGACAGCTCAGAGAGATGGCTTTGCCACTAATGTCAGTAAAGGTTTCGTCTTCCATCATGAACGCAACACAAGCAGAGAGTAGAGAGAGGAGAGAAACAGGGAGCTAACTGGCTAACACTGACGACAGGATAGCATCGAGCTAGCTTTGGCTAGGAAAGGTCAGACGCATATAAAGACATAAAATGGTGCTTTTTCAGATAAATAATTCTGCATGCATACATACGACTCAATATCTCTGGAATTAATAGGATGAGAAAAACGTAGCAGCAAAAATCACTGAAGTGAATATTCCCAGGACAAGTTAATTTGAGTTGAAGCTAAAAATCAATGCTAACATTAGATGCACTCGTTTTCTACACCGGGGTGTTCGGTTTGGATGTTGTTGTACAGTAACGACAGTAACGAGCATCAAGTACAGGGCGGGCACTATCGCTCTACGTGTTTGACAGGTTTCACAACACCCAGGGACATTAAAATAATAAATACACGTTGTATTATAAAATGAAAGCCCGAGCTATTGATATTAACATGATGCCTGTCGTTATCAGTTACTGTAGTAATCTATCTGTATCTGAGTAAGCTCCGGTGTACGCTGGATACTAATAAAAGCGAACACTACATCAGCTGGAAGGTGCAAAGCATTATGGGCAACGGTTTATATATCGTCCAATAAATCCACATTATTTTTTTTAAGTAGAAAGGTAGTTGATGTCAAACTTTCCTAATATAATATACTATGAGTATAATTGACTGTATGTACTCTTACATCGTTTATAAATCGAGTAAAGTATTAATTGTCCGATGTTTTTCTCTGCAACTCCCAAATCCTTCATATCCCAAAATGCATCATGTTTCGTGACTTCTGAACTCTGGATAAAAACAAGCCGATCAGCTGATGGAAAAGCAACAACATCTACAGTGGTCTGACACAGAAGAGCCCTGCAAGCTAACTTTCTTCACAACATTAGCTGTATGTGGCAGTCAGCTGTGTGCGTTAGACGTATAAGTGTCCGGTTTTAGACTGTGTGGAGGCAGCCTTTTAGTTAGCCGTCGTCCGTTGGACTAGTAACCACTGCTAGGTCAGTCGACTGAAACGAAGGTGGTTTGTTTCTTCAGAAAGTGTCTTTCTTTGTGTCGGTTAGTGACAAAATAAAAATATGTATTACTGATTTTCAAAACGTTTTTTTAAGACATTATGGCTCACATTGACAGGGCTACTTTAAAATAGCAACTTGGCATAAACAAGTTAGCTGCAGCATTACCAAAACAAGACAGGGGATGCAGGGCAGCTAATGTTAGCTCGCAAACTGTTGTGCCAAAACAAAGTAATTCACTTGTCTGAACAAGGGCGTTTAAATGCACAACTCTTCCCGTTAACTACTGACTGAATATCCTTATTGGTAAGCAGTAATAAGCTTAACATTTTACAACTTTTTGACAGTATTGTACTTTAGTTTTTGTTTAAATGGCTCTTTACAGAGTTTAAACAAAGATTGCATCACTTCAGCTCCTCAATTGAACCGACACGTTGCGTTTATTCCGCTTGCTTTTAGTAACCGAGGGGTATCCACTGACCTGTCATTTCTTTTGACATGAGTGGTCAAGGTCCAGCTGTAGATAAAGGGATGACCACATTGCTAGGCTGTCAGGAGAGCTACGCCTGCGGGGGTTCAGAAGAGGCTGCGTTTGAGTGCGATGAATGCGGCAGCCTGCAGTGTGCCCGCTGCGAGATGGAGCTCCATCGCCAGGAGAGGATGAGGAACCACGACCGGGTTCGGATCGCACCCGGCCACGTCCCGTTCTGTGACTCCTGCAAGGGGGACAGCAGCTGCCCCGTGAACGGTGGACGGCTCAGGGCGGTGGTGCGCTGCCAGGGCTGCAAGACCAATCTGTGTTTGGACTGCCAGAAACGCACCCACAGTGGGGTCAACAAGAGGAAGCACCCTCTGACTCCATACCCTCCTGCAACAGCTCCCCAGGACAACTGCCTGGCTGCAGGGGAGTCACACATGGAGATACTGAAGGCCGAGCTGGAGAAGGTGTCCAGCTTCATCTTGGTGGACGAGAGGGAGGAGATGCAGGTAAATACTTTTAAGCAAATAGTTTGACATCTCCAGATTATTATTATTTTTTGAGAATGAGGCTGATCTTTTGTGGATTCTCAGGTGAAGGATGTGGAAGACTTTGTGAGCAGACTGCGTTGCAAGTCAGATGAGCTCTTGAAGGTGGTCTCCATCTTCGGAAACACTGGGGAGGGCAAGTCCCACACCCTGAACCATACTTTCTTCCTTGGACGAGAAGTCTTCAAGACCTCTCCCACCCAGGAGTCCTGCACCGTGGGGGTGTGGGCCGCTATGGACCCTGTGCACCGGGTGGTAGTCATCGACACAGAGGGACTGCTTGGAGCTGGTATGGGACCAACAATGGGAGAGCTTAAAGGGACAGTTCACCCAGCATATTTTCTCTCCTACCTATAGTGCTATTTATCATTCTAGATTGTTTTGGTGTGAGGTTCACATTTTTTGAGAGAGGCCTGCCAATGGATCTAGATGACACTTGGCTTTTGGTGTTCAAAGCACCCAAAGAAATTCAATTGTAATTAATAAAACCTCAACAATAATATCTCATTACAAAAATCATGAACTGGTTACTCAAGCTGATCTAAGGACTTTGTTTGTGGGCAGTTAATGTAGGAACTTCTTTCTTTTGACCAAACTAAACAATTATACATTTGCAAGGCGGCTCAGCACTAACATTTGTAAAACCTTTAGTGAACTGAAGAAAGGCTATCCCCATTCATTTTAATTAGCGCAGGTTTCTAGCAAGAACTAATCTCCAACACTCAGCAACGCACACCAAAACAATCTAAGTTGATACAAATAGTATAAGAAAAAAGTGTTTTTATTTTGGGTTGAACTGTCCCTTTAATACCATATAATAAACATCAGTACTGGGAGGCATGTTTTTCCTCAATTGACACACATTAACACTACCACATTATTATATTTTGCTCTCATCAGGAGCAAATCAGGGTCAGCGAACGCGCCTGCTCCTTAAAGTCCTGGCCATCTGTGATGTGGTCATCTACCGAACCCATGCAGACCGTCTCCATGACGATCTCTTCAAGTTCCTCGGCGATGCATCAGATGCTTACCTGAAACACTTCACCAAAGAGCTGAAAGCGACCACCACCCGCTGTGGTCTAGACGTCCCCTTGTCCACTCTGGGCCCTGCTGTGATCATCTTTCATGAGACTGTCCACACCAAGCTACTAGGATCAGGTACATGTCACCCTCTTAATTCTCTAAAACTTAACTTAAATGTACTGAAATGAAAAAGATTGTCAAAAGAATCATATGTTCTCTCACCTTCACTTTCTGTTTTGCTCTTCATCTCCAGACAAACCCTCAGAATCGGTGGAGCGTCTTCTCCAGGAGCGTTTCAGGAAGCTGGGTCTGTTTCCAGAAGCGTTCAGCTCCATCCAGTACCGTGGGACTCGCACCTACAACCCTCCCACAGACTTTAGCGGTTTGCTTCTTAGCCTTGAGCAGCAGCTGGACAACAACACCACCCGCTCACCACGCTCCGCCAGCGTCATCTACAAGGCCCTGCAGGTAAAGACCCTTGATTGTACTCAGAAACTACTAGTGTTATGTATTTATTTACACATTTGTAAATGTCAATATTGACAGCCAGCTTTATTGACTCTTTCTGTCTCTTTATTTCCTTCTTTCAGGCCCTGAGCGAGCGCTTTAGCGGGGAGATAGCCGATGAACACATGGCCAGTAACTCGTTCTTCCCGGATGAGTACTTCACCTGCTCCAGCCTCTGCCTCAGCTGTTGGTACGTGTCTCTGTAAATGCTGCCACCTTTGCATTTCATTAACGTAGTATACGTTTTTAGACCTTTTTATTTCGCCCTGGTTCTCATACAGACCTCCATAGTTTCATTCAATGAGTCTTGAAAATTAAGCTTTAATTGAAGGACAAAAAGTTAAAGTCGGCCAAATCTATTTGTTGTGACAATTTAAAACACTTTGTATTAGCATTTAATTTTCCTCTGGTGCATCTATAAATAACAACAGTGTAAATAATTTAAGTATCTTTTAGGTTTTTATGAATAATGTTTTTTAAAAGACACCGTCAAAGAATCAACATCAAAGGGGAACACTGCCGTTTCCAGTACATTCCGATATGCTATTTGAATGGCCTAGGAAAGCTGTATTTTTTATTTTGTAACCAACATTTTTTTGAATGACACATTCCCCTGAGTGCTCTCATAGTCATCTATGACACATTTCCCAAATCATTGTGTATGGAGCAGTTCTAGACTTAAACTTGGTGACATCACTGCACTCTGGTTTTTGGATTTGGAAGAGTAATTCTTGTTTATATTTGTTGCCTGTCGAGGACGATAAATGAATTTAGGAAATGGTTGTCAAAATATCCCCTTTACAATGTGGCCTTTTGTCCCTTAACTCTCAGTTCAGGCTGTAAGAGAAGCATGAATCACCTCAAGGAAGGACTTGACCACGAAGCCAAACAACGCTGCCGCTACTCTGCACAGTATGACAACCGCATCTACACCTGCAAGGCGAGTACAAGCCCCAATGCCACGCCTGTACATGTTGAAGTTTACCTGCGTGGTTAGATTCTCAATGTCTCTTCTAAAACTTCTCAGGCCTGCTATGAAGGAGGGAAGGAGGTCATAGTGGTTCCCAAAACGACAGCCTCGTCTGACTCACCGTGGTTTGGCTTGGCCATCTACGCCTGGTCTGGGTGAGTCCGGCTACCACAGAAGAACCATGAGGAAGACGATCGGAAATGTCTGCCTGGCACTGTGATCAACCCACTTGAACTATAGAAGAGGGAAAAATCCAGAACAAAAGGCTTTACTTTATGAGCTTCTCCTACCCAAACAGCGCACAACTATGCTTTTTAATTAGCTTATGTCTAGTTTTTTTTAAATGGATGGTTGTATAAATGTTTATGGTACAATTAGGCTTTGGTTGATGTCTGAATCCTCCCTTAAACTGAATCCAAAACAAACAAAATCCACGCCTTTATCCATCTTAGTAATGTATGCTTAAACACACAGATATAATAGGCAAAAGTGGAATAGATCCAAAATGTATGTATATTTATTTCTTTCATTATTAAAGTAAGGAGACCAATCACCAACTAATGTAATTTATATGCACTAAAGGCTGTTATATTATCATAAAGGTAGTTTATTTGACTTATGACTTCAGCCTAACAGATCACTAATGCAGGCAAACTGACACCCACAATGGGACCCTATGGTTCTTATTCTGCCATAAAACCAAAAACAATAGGCAACACAATCTGTCCCCTATAAACTGAAATGTTTTTGTCTTGGACCAGGTATGTCATCGAGTGCCCCAACTGTGCAGTGATCTACAGAAGCAGGCAGTACTGGTACGGGAACCAGGACCCAGTGGAAACAGTGGTCAGGACAGAGATCCAGCACATCTGGCCCGGGGTAAGGCAACAGTGGGTTTTATGTTGATGCCCAGGAAACCAGACCCGGCGCCAGAACAAATCTAAAGGGAGGGCATATGATTTTCATGGGAGGGCACACAAAACCGTCACGTGCTGCGGGCCTGCGGCACAATATCAAACAGCAAGGCCAACAGCATTGCGTAAAGACGCACACTTATCGCAAACATACACAAATAAAGGGCAACATAGCAACCACTTTGAAACATTGTGTGCGTGGCAGCACAGACACTGGTAAATCACGAGCAAGGCACACTGGTTACGGAAGGCAGCTTTCTCATCGCTGCACTCGGAGAGAAATAGTATAGACGGAGACGATGAGCTGTTTAGCCCGCCTTGGGCATGGTTTATGTTCCTATGCACTGCACTCGGACATGCTGTGGAGTGAATCGAGTCACCTCTGAGAGGGAGTTGGTTGACAGCTAAAAAAGCTATAATATCAACGACAGCTGACACGTAATAATGGTTCCGTGCCAGCTGATCTGCACCAAAGTACTCATTTCCTTATTTGTTTCCTCGCTTATCTGTCTCTCTCTCCACACACTCTCACATGAAATGTGTTCTTTTGATGCGGCATGCCTTAGCAGTCCTTTATCAGTCTGTAATGCGTGTTTCCAGTCGCAAAAACCTTTGACAGTAAAAGCCGCATCAGATGAAGACGTATTGACTTTAAACTGTCTACAGGGGAAACAAAAGGCTGCGTCTGCTTTTAACGAATCTTCAAGCCATGGTCTGTTGTTGTACCATGCGCTTCTTTCCTGAAAACAATCTCCCTGATAACGATCCAGTTTCACCTGGTTGGGTTTATTAACCCCAAGATCATCTGGGGCTGTTGGTCTTTGAGCGGTTGCTGGCCCAATAGAACCTGTTGATGTGCTGCAAGGTAGCGTCTGTAGTGGAGGCACCGGCACGGAGCAGGAGGAGGAGGATGCTGGCGGGTGTGGTACAGGGTGTGGCAACGCAGGTGGTGATGGTAGGGGCACAAGGAGTTGTGCCTCGGAGGACAGCGTTGGTGGCGGCCGCCTTGATGAGTCAAGGATTGGGCTCGCTAACTCAGCCCCGGGGTTTGCCGAGGTCAAGCTTGTGACATTAAGGCGTGCTGCTGCAACGGCAGGTGCAGGGTCGCCAGCAGCTGCATCGGCTGCAGTTCTTTCATCGCTATTTCGTTTTAATAAATCCTTAGACCTTTTGAGCCAATTTCTGATGTCCATTTTGTAATTCAAACAGAAATGGGAGTCTACAGAATGCACAATAAACAAATCCAGAATAGGCGGCAGAGTGTGACGCTGTGATTGGTCTAAATGGGGACGAATCACAAATCACAACAGACACATTAATTTATTTGACGTAGCCTGCGATTTTTTTAGTTCTGACATCACATACATCGTAGCATAAAAGTTCACAGTTTATTTATAATTAAAAAAATAAAATATATATTTTTTATTTTTATAAATAATAAAAAACGTGTTTATTGGGGGAGGGCAGGAATGTCAAATGGGAGGGCTTGGCCCTCCCTGGCCCTCCCACGGCGCCGGGCATGCAGGAAACTATTACCCAATGTGGTTTATGAACTTTTTTATATTTAACTGACGATGTACACAACAAATGTCAAATTTAAGATTCTCCAACAATATTTTGAAAGTATGATCTACAGGAGCTAGTGTATTCCTTTGTATCTTACTCAACCTTTTTTTCTCCTCTTGCCTTTTCTCAGTCTGACGGTTTTCTGAAAGACAACAACAACGCTGCCCAGAGGTTGCTGGATGGAGTCAAATACATTTCTCAGTCAGTGTCGGAACTCAGCGTGAAGCCGGCCAAAGCCGTCACCTCCTGGCTCACCGACCAGATCGCTCCCACCTACTGGACTCCAAACTCCTTCATCACGGTGCGCAACTTAATCTCTCAATTCCCAATTAATTACGGCTGTTAAAACTGCACATAGTTTTCCTATAGAGACCGACATCATCTTATCCTCTATGGCAGGGGTGTCCAAACTACGGCCCGGGGGCCAAATGCGGCCCGCGGACCATTTTGAATCAGCCCTCAGCTAATTCAAAAAGTATAATGGAATATGGCCCACAAATTAAACTTGTGCTTGTCTTATATTGTACTTCTTAAATATGAATGTAAAAATATGCTATCTTCGCTGTTTGTGTTGCAGAAATGCACTAAATGTGGGGAAGAGTTCCAGGCCAACGACACAAAGCACCACTGTCGTGCCTGTGGAGAGGGCTTCTGTGACTCCTGCTCCTCAAAAACCCGCCCGGTCCCAGAGAGAGGCTGGGGGCTCGCGCCTGTCCGAGTCTGTGACGCGTGTTTCCACAACAGAGAAATCTCCACTGGTAAATCCCTCTTAATATAGGACTTAATGTCTACGTACCATTTAAAAAATCATATGTTATTACTATTCTGTTTTAGCTAGTTTGTGTATTTATTCTTCTGACTTTTGAATCGCTTTTATGATTTTGAAAGCTATACTATGTTTAAAGGTCCCATGTCATGGCCATTTCTACTGATCATAATTCCATTGTTGAGGTCTACTAGAATAGATTTATATTGTGCAATTTTCCAAACTCACATTGGTTTCTCATACAGCATCTCTGTATAGTATGTGTATTCACTCTCTGTCCTAAACGACTGGTTGGAGCTTGGGCCGGTCGAGAGTCCCGGGCTGGTTTGTAGATCCAGTCCGCCCCTAAATGCTAATATTTTCGGTTTAAAGCACCTTGAAATGACTGAATGATTGAAATGTGCTATATAATTAAAATGGTCTTGCTTTTGGTCTGAGACAGTCCAAAGCTCTTAGCTACAAAGACAACTTTCCCTATTCCAAAAAATGTAGTCCTTAAAATCAAGATTGAGAAAGCAGCTCATATTTCCCAAATATTGGTATTGAACTGTCTAGGTCACGGAAATAATATTGTGTTACCTTAATTATAATTAAGTTATGTTGCTCTTTAAAACATGTGAGTGCCTGAATTTCTGTGCACATCTTTGCTTGTTGCAGAGTTACTGGACGCTGCCCTGGAGGAGGAGAGAGGCACCCTGATAGCGAGGAAGGTGGGGGAGGCGGTGCAGAACACTTTAGGAGCTGTAGTGGGGGCCATCGACATCCCTCTGGGTGAGCATTATATCGGTCGATTATCAAAAACAATCTGTGTTGGGAGGGGAATCGACCCACTATAAGTAGAAATACTTTTGTCTTAAAATACCTATATTAGAACAAAAATACTTAAGTAGAAGTGCAGAAGTATTTTGAGCTAAATGTACTTAAACTATCAGAAGTACTGATGCACAATTGCTCTTTCCAAAGTATTTTATTGATATAACTTATTATACTACAGTTGTTATGGCTTACAAATACATCTAAGAGCATTTTAATGGTATAGTTCGTCAATGTTGAGCCAATGTATTTATTTTATTTGTAATAAATCAAGTAAAATAAAATATAATGCAGTAAAAAGCACACTATTTCCCTCAAAATTGCAATGGAGAAGAATCATATAGTAGCATTAAATAGAAATATTCAGGTAAAGTATAAGTATGACAAAACACTTTTTAAAAATACAGTAGTTGATTAAATGCACTTAGTTATTTTCCACCACTTTACAATATGCGCATTATTTTCTTTACAATGTACACGTTTTAAATGTAACGTCTCTGTGTTGATGCTAATATTTTCTCAAATGGAACAACTGTTAGAAGATCCAATTTCCTCTGGCGGTAAATAGAGTATTCTTACAGCTTTAACTGAAGCACTCTACCCGGCTGTTGTTAGAATAACCCCCCATCCTCTCCTGTGCGTCCAGGCCTGGTGAAGGACGCCGCCCGCCCGGCCTACTGGGTCCCAGATCAGGACATCCACTCCTGCAGCGAGTGTCAGAAGGAGTTCTCCCCGCGCCTCTCCATCCACCACTGCCGCTCCTGTGGACAGGGCGTGTGCGGTGACTGCTCTCAGGAGCGCCGCCCCGTGCCCTCCCGCGGCTGGGACCACCCGGTGAGGGTCTGCACCGGCTGCAACCAAAAACCAGGGGAGCTCTAGCAGGACGCAGAGGAGGAGGCTGTTTGAGGACGCCTGTCAAAAAACTGGAAATTGGCTAAAAGGCTTCAGTTCCTCTTTTAGCGGCATTTCTTGGCTGCCAATAGACTGTCTGTGGCAGGTTTTCAAAACTATTCGTCAGTCCCTTAATGTTCTTTCACTTAAATATGCCTATATTTTACACTGTGAAGAATGTCAGACAGAGTAAGACTTGAATATCAAGAAGGAAGGAGAGATAAAACTGCTTGCTAGCGTTTTATGAAAGTGAGTTTTAAGTGTTAATGCTTACAATTGAGTGCGGTAATATCCATGTACCCCTAATCCTTTTAAAATGTGTACTGATGTACAACCCCTATGACAATCCCTCCCAGTGTGACCCACTAGTACTATTATAATTAGTCTGGGGCTACATGTGTGAACCGTTAGATAATAGATGCGTCTTAAACTGATCCCGGGTAAGCACTTTTATTCTGAGAATGTTTCCGCTGGAGCCCCTGGATATAGCACTTCAGAGAAACCCTGAAAGAATGATCCACCAAAATGAATTATGGTCCTTTTTAAATGGAGTTACAGTAGTTTCCCTCCTCTTCTTCAAGAGGATTAGAACAATCAGAAGCCAATAATGTACTGTAACATCGAGATGCATTCCTACTTATATAATTACTTAACTTCTTATATAATAAGATTTGAATGGGAAGATCAGAACAGCCTTAATAACGCTGTCCACATTGTTTAAATTTAACATAGAATATACATATAAGGGGAAAAATTTTCCTAATAGGGATATTTTTTTGAAAGGCTTGTGTTGTTTTTATGTTAAAGTACTATTTGCTTACAATACACATCTGATGAACTGCAACAGGAACTGATTTTATAGAGTGGCTGGCTCACAGTAGCAATATGGAACAGAAAAAAAATAACTTGAAAACATCTTTGAGGCTGGCCCCTCAAAACAAGGAAAAATATTTAGAGTGTTTACTCTGTCTACTCAGGCTGTGTAGCTAGGAGCAACGTTTGAGACTGTACTGTACAATCATCTGACAAATACATCATGAGGATGCAGCTAGGGCTTCCGACTGAACACTAGGGGGTTGTGAGGACTGGATTTGATTTTTTAAGTGACTGTTTGGGAGAGTTGGCTACCAATTCCACAAATAAGCTGAATTAATAGGAATCGTATTACTGTCCCTGTCTCAGAGAAAGATGTTCAATGAATACAAAATATCAAAAGGAACAAATCAATACCTTTATGCACATGTACGCTCATACAGTATGTAATAAACTGCAGAAACTCAGTCTCTGTCATTTAGGAGCAAATACAAAGCATTAGATATCAATAATTTCTTTAGAATAAGACATGGTGTTGATTTACATTATGAGCGCAGCACCATCCTTTTCAAATCAGATCAAAGAAATCCTAAATAACATATTAAAAAAATCATCCAATTCTTAAGTAAGGGCACTTTTTCTTGTAAATGTTACAGATTTCTTAAATTCGGTAATTGCCATGTATGCCACACGTCTATTACAATAACATAATAAAAACCACCCATCGAGACTTGATTGTAACCCCCTATATGGAAGCAAACCTGTGTACATGAACTGCATACTGGCCAAACTTTGTCTTTATAAAATACCTAAAGATTTTGTATATGAATAAAACTCCTTCCATACATTTGGCAAGTCCTTGTTTTGAGAAGATTCGTCAGTTTTCAGTCCTTTCAAACGGAGCCGGCTGGCTGCTCTTCTCCTTCCTGGTAGTCGGTGTTGTACGGGAAGTAGTAAAGGTCGTGTTTGACGGCCATGAGCAAGCCGGGGAGCCCCCTGCAGCCGCCCAGCTTGGAGGAGAAGACCACGCTGGGGATCATGTCGTTTGCGGCCGGGTGGGGCGATGGGATAGTCCTCAATAGGTGGCCATCTTTGAGGCTCCATAACCTAGTGTAGCAATCCTGACCGACTGGGGAAGGAACAGAGGAGGAAAATCATAATTCGTTTTTTCTCTTTCCAATCTGGTCGGAAAGCAACATTAATCATTAACTGGCTCAAGAGCATGTTGACTTGCACTAAGTACAGTATGTCAGCGCGGGCTGTGCAATTACGGCAAAAATCATAATCACGATTATTTCTGGTCAATATTGATATCACGATTATTAAATACGATTATTCATTGACTTTGAAAACGTCAATTTATTGAACTTTAAAACAAATTAAAATAATAATTTGAACAGTATGTTTTTAACAGTTGATTACCCTGAACTTTAAGTATAATTCAACTGAAAAACCAATAATAAATAAATTATACATTTATATCTACATTTAAATAAATAATATCAAAATAATAAATACCAATAAAGAAGATAAACAAATATTTTGGAGCGCACTTCCACAACCTACTAAACATCATGAGGTGCCGGCGGACCACCCTGGATGGTGTTAGGTCCACTCCCCACTTATAAAAATAGCACTTTAATCTCTAGCCTCTAATCTCAGATGCACCCTGAGTCATTTTGTTCTGGAACCGGGCCTGGACCAGGTGGAATATTTTTGCAAGAACAATGAATGGCTCGTTGTTAAAGACAAAAAGCTGGGATGTCGGATATGTAAAGAGGTAAAGTCTTTGGGAAAACACATTGGACAAGGACTGAAACTCTCGATGGAATGGGGTGAGTGTGCAGTGTGTCATTTCGGTAGTGACAAGTGCAAACAACAAGCTAGCCTGAGAAAAAAAGATCAAAGAACACGAAAAATCACAAGCCCATACTTAAATCTGCTTCACGTGAAGCAATTCAAAAGCAAGCTGCGGAAAGATGCGTGAGTGTACTCAGGGACGAGGAGTCATTGAACCAGCCGCCAGTAAGAGTCAGGCTTTAGCCATATCCGCTGCCTTTCATACTTTTAAGTACAGTGAGCCTTTCTAAAATATACAGTAAAGAGACAAACCCACCAGCATTATAGGATATACTATATGACTTTGAGCCAAATTCTTGTTTTTGGGCTGTATAAATAAAATTGACTTGAAACAGTTGCTGATTTAGAGTACTGGCACCTTTTTTATTCCAATTCAAGCACTGCATATATAAATATGATAACTAATGTCACTCACAACCTGTAATGTTTAATTATACTGCTACACGCAGTGCTCTTATTTTGGTAACCCCTTATCCGGAAACCGGAAGTAGCTAAGAGGCTCCGGCTTGACGAGGTCAGTGAAAGTTGACTGAACGCTAGAGACCGGAGAATAAAGACACGGCAACTAAAGCTTCCCTTGTAACGTGTTTATATGGATTTATTAAACAGACTGCAAGTCACAACACAACCTGGCTGAGAGGGCTTTTAGGGAGGGGTGGAAGCGCACGCGCGGGCAGGATGTATAACGCAATACAAATTGAAAGCATCATTGGGAAAGGGAATGCAGCAAAAATAATCGTTGCAAGCCAAAATCGTAATCCAGATTAAAATACGATTAATTGCACAGCCCTAGCGCATAGTGGTGTAACCTGGTAGGCAAGTAGTTAACTGGCATAAATTAAATTAACATTTTCAAAGCCAGTGTGTTGATGTGAGCATGTTGTGTTCTCTCCTACCTGCCAATAAGAGTCCCTCTGGCTCGTTGACATGAATGGGAAGGTAGGCGTGCTCATTGTAGTGCCCTTTGTACTCCTGCACAGGCTTTGTCGCACGCACATCCCACAGCTTAATCTGCACAGAATTCAAGAAAAACACAATGTTAGCAATATTAGCATTCATGTGGGTTGACATTTTTTTAAGAAGGGATGCATAATGGATTTTTTTTGTGTCACCAACTAAATACACACTTTTCATAAAGGATATGGTATGGTAACCATTATTTTCAATCTTTATTTTATTTTTAAGCTAAGTTCATAACCTGTAGTTTGTGCACATCTGATATGGCTCACTTCATTGCATTTTTCTAGTAAATCAAAAAACATCAATTGCACATTGGAGTCGTAATGTCTTCTTCTGAAGATCTTTTTGGCTCAACGGCAGGTAATTTATCGGGTATGATTTCATTATCGAATAATATATAACATACATTTCTCATTATTAGCTGTGTGCATTCCTTTTAAAAAAAAAATGATTACATTACATTGCATTTAGCTGACGCTTTTATCCAAAGCGACTTACAATAAGTGCGTTCGTCCAACAAAATACAACTTGAAGAAAACAGAATCATAAAAGTACATCAGGTTTCATAGAGCAAAAACATTTCAAGTGCTACTCAACTGGCTTTAGAAAAGCCAGTCCTTTATTAGTATAAAAGTGCTTCGTTAATAGTTCTATCGCTCGAAGTGGAGTCGAAAGAGATGAGTTTTCAGTTTGCGCCGGAAGATGTGCAAGCTATCTGCCGTCCTGATGTCAATGGGGAGCTCATTCCACCATCATGGAGCCAGGACAGCAAACCCACGTGTTTTCGCCGTTGGGAACTTGGGTCCCCCTCGCAGCGAGGGCGCAGCGAGTCGTTTGGCTGATGCAGAGCGTAGTGCACGCGCTGGGGTGTACGGTTTAACCATGTCCTGGATGTAGGAAGGGCCAGATCCATTCGCAGCATGGTAAGCAAGTACCAGTGTCTTGAAGTGGATTCTAGCAGTTACTGGAAGCCAGTGAAGTGAGCGGAGGAGCGGAGTGGTGTGGGAGAATTTAGGAAGGTTGAAGACCAGACGAGCCGCTGCATTCTGGATGAGCTGCAGAGGTCGGATGGCACATGCAGGTAGACCAGCCAGGAGGGAGTTGCAGTAGTCTAGGCGTGAGATGACGAGAGCCTGGACCAGAACCTGAGTCGCTTTCTGTGTCAGCTGGGGACGTATCTTCCTGATGTTGTAAAGCGTGTATCTGCAGCAACGGGTTGTAGCAGCGATGTTTGCAGTGAAGGACAGGTTGTTATCTAGGGTCACACCCAGATTCCTTGCAGTCTGAGTCGGGGAAACAACTGAGGTGCCGATGTTGATTGTTAGGTCAAGAGTGGGACAATCTTTTCCCGGAAGGAAGAGCAGCTCAGTCTTGTCAAGGTTGAGTTTGAGGTGATGAGCAGACATCCACTGAGAGATGTCAGCTAGACAAGCAGAGATGCGTGCGACGACCTGGGTCTCTGAGCGGGGAAAGGACAGAATTAATTGGGTGTCATCAGCGTAGCAGTGGTAAGAAAAACCATGCGGGCTAATGACTGATCCGAGCGAGTTTGTGTACAGGGAGAAGAGGAGGGGACCAAGAACAGAGCCCTGAGGGACCCCTGTAGTTAATTGACAAGGGTCGGACTCAGACCCTCTCCAAGTCACCCTGTAGGTACGGTCTTTCAGGTATGAGGTGAGGAGGGAAAGTGCAGAGCCTGAAACTCCAAGTTTTTGGAGAGTGCGAAGGAGGATCTGATGATTCACCGTGTCGAATGCAGCAGACAGGTCCAACAGGATGATGACAGAGGAGAGGGATGCAGTTTTGGCAGTGTGCAGTTCCTCCGTGACAGCAATGAGAGCAGTTTCTGTGGAGTGACCTGCCTTGAAACCAGACTGGTGCGGATCCAGAAGGTTGTTCTGATTGAGATAACAGGAGAGTTGTTTAAAGACAGCGCGTTCAAGTGATTTAGACAGGAACGGGAGGAGAGAGACAGGCCTGTAGTTTATAACATCAGACGGATTGAGAGTGGGTTTCTTTAGGAGAGGGTTTACTCTTGCCTCCTTGAGACTGTTTGGAAAGTGACCAGAAGTTAGAGAAGTGTTGATGAAATGGGTGAGAAACGGTAGAATATCAGGAGCGATAGTCTGAAGGAGGTTTGAAGGGATAGGGTCCAGAGGACAGGTGGTAGGGCGGGCAGAGGTAATGAGGGTAAGAACCTCACTTGGAGAGAGAGGGGAAAAGGAGGTAAGTGTGTTGGTGGAAGGAGGGTCTGGTGACCCAGCGGTGAGTAAAGGTGAGTCAGAAAAAGAAGAGCGAATATCATCAAACTTTTTTTCAAAGTGGGTAACAAAGTCGCTTGACAGAAGTGAGGAGGGGGGAGGAGCTTTTGGAGGGTCCAAGAGGGTGGAGAAGATGGAAAATAGTTTTTTAGGATTGGAATAGGAAGACTGGATCTTATCTTGAAAGAAAGTGCTTTTTGCCTGAGAGATCGAAGCAGAGAAAGAGGAGAGGAGAGCTTGATAGGTTAGGAGGTCGTCACGGTGTTTGGATTTCCACCATTTCCGCTCTGCTGCCCTAAGGACGGTTCTATTAGCACGCAGTGCATCATTTAGCCAGGGAGCAGGAGGGGACTGACGAGCCTGCCGAGATGTGAGAGGACAGAGCGAGTCCAGAGTGGATGAGAGAGTAGAGAGGAGAGTTTCTGCAGCAGAGTTTGGAGGCAGGAGTTGGAACGAGTCAGAGGAAGGGAGGGCTGAGAGCACCGACGAGGCAAAGGTAGAGGGGGAGAGGGAGCGAAGGTTACGGCGGACAAGTGCAGGATGAGAAGAGATTAGTTTGTTATGTTTGGAAAGGGATAGAGAGAATGAAATGAAGAAGTGATCGGATGTGTGGAGCGGGTTTACAGAGAGGTTAGAAGTAGCGCAGTTCCTTGAGAATATGAGATCAAGGACATTGCCAGCTTTATGAGTCGGTGGGGACGGAGACAGTGAGAAAGCAAAGGCGGTTAACAGAGATGTTAGTTCGTCTATCTTCCCCGTCTGGAGG